TACTTTTTAAGTTACACACCTGGAGAATATGTGGCCTGCATTTATGATGTTCAATGGTATTTAGGAAATATTCTTAGTATTTCAGAAGAGCATCAAGATTTTCGTATTAACTTGATCACAAAAAGTCTTCTTTATTTAACAAGTTCACGTGGCCATACAGAGATGATCTTTGTTGGGTACCTCTGATGCATATTTTATGCAAAGTACAATCTCTTAAGGTCCAGTCAAACAGAGGAAGATTTTATAATATTGACTTAAAAGAAATCAACGAGATTATTTTATTATTTGAGAAATTTAACTTTTTGTAAATTTTATTAATTTTGTTTATTTTCTGAAAAACTTTTTTTCATTAATACAATTTACAAATTGAAAAAAACATTTTATTTTTTTTTCATAAAAAAAAAAATTGCATTATAAAGCGGAGAGATAAGGGGGATGGGATAGAGGTAGAGGGGACAGAGGGGGAGGAGAGAGGGGGAATTATATATTTTTTAACTATTGCAATTATAAGGCTATGAGCATTGATACTTTTTAATTAATATTTTATAATAAATAACATTATTTAGTTCAATGCATTTATTTATTATGTTATTACTTTTTTATGGAAAATTTACCTGACTTTTAGAGACTTTTGGGGGTTATAAATAAGCGCCAATTAATTTTTTTGGTTTTTATTAATTAACACTCTTTAATTGATGTGTATAAAAAATTTTATGAAAAAAAAAAGTGCTATCTAAGGTAACAGATGCTTTGCATCGCAGATCAATTTTAGGAAAACCTCAATTTTGGAGACCTATAACTTTTAAATGCAGCTCTTTAATCAACTGATTTTTTTTTCCACCACATGTAGATCAGCAGGCAATTTGATTTGTGATAATTTTTTATCTAGTTTTTAAGATTAAGATTTTTAAAATCTTTTAAATTTTTAAAAAAATTTTGTTCTTAAAACAAAAATATTAACTTTAGCCCGCCATTATGGAAAAAGTTAAGATGCCAGAATTTAAATTCCCCTAAAGTGTCCACAGCATACTTGTTATCTTATAATAACTGAAGTATAAAACTAACTTTTTCAAAAGCTATTGGCTGTTAAAAATAATGAAAAAAATCTTTTTTCTTGTAGAGTGAAATTTTATGCAAAATAGCCCACTACTTAAATAGCGTTTTCTCAAGAATTATATAAGATACTGATCTAAAATTTTTAAAACATGCTTTTTACATACATATGTACAAAATCAAAAAAATTCAATAAAATCTGAGATGGTCCATGAGGGACCTTTGCACCACTAGGCATGGAATGACCCTTAATTAAATATTTATCTAAATATATGGTTACTATATATTACAAATCATAAAATCACTGTAGTGAGCAACTTTCAATAATAATAAAGATTCAAAATTAGTATATTGAAAAACAACTTCAAGCTAAATATAAAACTAAAAAATATTCCCTGAGTTTTCCCTAATTTGAAAGATTTTTGAAAAAAGTTCCCTGACTTTTCCAGGTATTACCTGATTTTTCAAACTTATGGAACTTTTCCCTGATTTTCCAGGTTTTCCCTGAGTGCCATGAACCCTGTTGTTACACCCATTTACAGATGCTTCAGAATTAGCATTTCGGATTGTTATTTACATTAGATGTCAATATAAAGAAAGTTCTATCAAGCAGAAAAAATGAGTGGCACTGCTTCCAGCCGTAACCATCTAACAATTAGAACTACATGGTGCAGTATGAGGATAAAGGTTAAGTTGCAGTGTCTAAGAAACCTACTAAGTCAACTTACAAGTCAATCAAAGAAGTAACATTTTGACGGACAGCATGATTGCAATCTGGTAGATACATAATCAAAGTAGGAGATTTAAAACATGTGGCTAATAGAATTGGAGAAATTCATATGGAAACAAACCTAAGACAGTAGAGATATGTGCCAACCAAATAAAACCCTGCTGATGATATAACAAGAAGAATCACAATATCAGAACTAAAACAAAACTTTAGGTGGTGGAAAGAACCAGAATTTTTGGTTGATCAAAAGAAATGCAAAAAAGGAGAGATATTGAAGCAACAACAATATAGAAGCAAAGAAGAGAAAGGAAAATTTAACTATTTTAGTTCTTGTAAAAGATAGAGCATGGCAATTGCAACCTAAGAGATTTTCAAGTTTGACTCAATTTACCAGAGTGCTTTCTTTGATGCATCATTTTATAAACAACTGTATGTCATCAAAAACACACAGGCTTGTATGAGAGTTACAACCAAAAGAGATTGTTGAATGCAAAAAATGAACTAATAAAGCTTGCAAAAAGAGAAAGTTTCAAAGAAGTTACAGCACTGCAACTTCTTTGTAAATAGACATAAAATGTGTATTTACTGTAAATCACCTATTACACAAAACAGGCCACACTATACATACAGTCTGTTTAATTGATAACTAATTGAACACTATACATACAGCTAACTCCTAACTGTTTTATAAAACAAATAATTCTACTCCACTTCAGATACTCCTCGTATTACAATTATGTGACATATGCACAGTTAATCTTTTCATTTATACATAATACAAAACACACTTTGTACGACATTTACCTGTGAGGTTACAAAATTCCATATGATTTTAAATTATTAGTTGTAAAATATATACACAGATTACTAATTGTAAATAAATTATATATATACAGATTATTAGTTGTAAAATATATATATACAAACTATTATTGCTATATGTGTGCATTTCAATATTAATGTTCTAGATTATCTAGTTGTAATAATTTGTTATTTTTAAGATACATGTTATAAGACTAATAGTATTTATGTCTAGCTTAGGTTATACCAGTTTAAATGACTTTCAACCAATTTTGTACTAATAACTCATTCTTTTAAGACATGCTACTACAGAATACACGCAAACATACATTACATTGGTTATTTACATTACATACACAGCTATGAGAACTTAAAGTAGTTCACAACTCTCACTGACCCTCATTATACTGCAACAGACCACTGAACTTACTGTCTTTCGCATCATAAAATTACTCACAATTGTATGTAAGTTTTACTGAACTCCACTATCTTCTAATCATTGACACTCAACACTAACAACGATTCAGTAACACTACAATTAATGACTCTATTGACTATTGTTAATTGATGTTATTTAGATTTATTACATTTTACTATGATTAATTTCTAGTATTTTTCTTCTTAGAGGCTTTTGACTTTCCACTTTTAAACTTACTATGCATCTAAAAGGTGTTCACTGCTCAGTGCAGTTCTACTAGAATGTATTGCATTAAACACAAAAAGTTACAGCACTGCTAGCTGAAAAATCCTTACCAAGGACAAGCAAGTTGCTATCTTTAAAATCAAAGTTAGACATTTAAAATATGTGTCATATTTGCCATATGATGCCAGATTCCATATTATAATGTAACGGAAAAACTGGATAACAAAACTTATAGTAAAGAAATATCGCAAAAAAGGAAAATTAGCACTAACCTAAGCTTAAAAGTAAAAAAAACCAAATAAACAAAAAGAAAACACTATTTTCACTTTTTTGAAAAACACTTTTTTAACCACATAACATGTATTAGTTGTTATATATATATCTTTCCAGATAACTAAAAATGAATTTTTTTTTTTTTTTTGAAAGTGTGCAACCGGTTTCCAAATGTTTTGAGGCTGTAAACCTGCTATACAAAAATTTAAATCACCACTGGCATAAACTATGTCTTTTTATTTAAGCAAAAATGCAATACACACATAATTTCAGCACAGATTTTCTTAGAACTTGATACAATAAACTCCAAAAATTGTTAAATAATATATCCTCTATAAGTTTATCTTCAGATTCTACAAATGCAATAGGACAAAATTAGTTTTTTTCTAGTAGATAAAAAAACTGGAGATATTGGTTGTAACAAAAATGTGTTACTTTCTTTTTCTGTTTAATCTAGAGTGATAAATAATTGAGATTAATTTTTTTTATTGTGAAAAATATTTAAAATAATCCTTTTAAAAAAGGTTTAAAATAAGAAGAGTATAAAATAAGAAAAGTTTAAAATAAAAAGAGTTTAAAAAAAGAAAAATTCAAAATAAGAAAAGTTTAAAATAATATTTGTTTGTTAGACAAGTCATTAAAGGAACTTTTTATAGTCTCATTTTAAGAGACACATCATTTTACAGCTTATTATTCATGTTAGAAAAAGGTACTTTGTTTAATTGTTTTTTCTTTTGGCATAAATAAATATTGTATCGATTTTAGGGAAATGGTCTAGTATGTCAGTTGTAATAATGTATAAATTTTTAGTATGTCAGTTGTAATAATGTATAAATTTTTGTAATTTATTATTATACATATCAACAAGAATAATCAGTGTCGTTGAACTTTCTATTATTCTAATAAACTTCATTGAGAGAATTTCTTTTGCTATAAAAATTGTGTAGTAAAGATTTTTTTACTTTTTGATCTTTAAGTTAAACAATTCTAAAACTTTTGAATGAACTTTTGTGATTCCTACAATAAGAAGTTGAGATTAAACTTTTATTTCATTTCAGGTGTTTTCAACCTCTGTACTTTAATTTCATTTCAGGTGTTTGTAAAAATGTAGTAGTATTCCAGCAAATGATTGTCTGTAGTTAGGAAATTGATTTGGTTACTTAATAAACTTTTGCTTACCTAATAAACTTTCATAAAATTTGTTAACCTAATAAACATTCCTTCACAAGTTGAACTTTCAGCTTTTATGATTCTTCGAAAACACAATTATTTTTCATGAACATGTTGATCTACTTTCAATTTTTGAAACTGGATACCACCTTACCTATGCAAGCCTTTTTCAAGTTTTCAATTTTATTTTTTTTTTTTTTGTTTTTTTTTTTTGATAATTTAAAAAAAAAAAAAAATTTTATAGGAAAACATTCTGACAAGGCAAAAGAGTATATAATAGTAACCATAGTAATAACAAACTTAGAAAAAGAGAACAAAAAATTTACTTACAGGTAAATTTTGTTTATAATCATTCATTTCTTCTGTGAACTTTTGCTTGTAGTACTGGTGCAAAGCATCAGGTTCGCTTCGCCACATATCAGAAGCAGTTTTCATTACATTTTTCAAAATTGGCTCATTCAAAATTGAAGCGTCATTGGTAGTTTTTTCTGCAATTAATTCTTTTTTATCCTTCAAGTACATTCCAAAAGCAGAAGCAGGTCTTTTCGATATTGTTGACTATGTTTATAAACATAAAAATTTACATCTTTATCTATAAGCAATGTACAAATATATATATATATATATATATATATATATATATATATATATATATATATATATATATATATATATATATATATATATATATATATATATATATATATATATATATATATATATATATATATATATATATATATATATATATATATATATATATATATATATATATATATATATATATAGTTTCACTTTAAGTTTTCTTTAAGCAATATTTTCTATGACCAAAGAACATTTTATTTTATTTGGTACTAAATAATAAGATAATTATAAAGTATGCTTTATAAATATTTGTACAAACTGCTTTACTTCTTAAACAATTAACTTTTTAAATTGAAAAAAATTTATTTTTTGTTTTTTGTAATATTTATAAAAAAATCCAAAAGATTTATTAATTTTTTTTAACAATTAGCAATATTAACCATTAGGTGCAAGAAATAAAAATTAGTAAGTGACCAAGATTGAAATTTGACAGGGCCAGGTTTGATAAAAAATAGCTGGGGCTGGGTTTGTGACCATTTTATTTTATTATTTGGAATTCATGTTAAATTTTATTAAATATATTTATTTATAAATATATTTATTTATATATAAATATCATTTATATATTAATATATTGTTATTTTTAAATATATTTATTTATATATAAATATCATCATCATCATCATCATCATCATCATCATCATCATCATCATCATCATCATCATCATCATCATCATCATCATCATCATCATCATCATCATCATCATCATCATCAACATCATCATCATCATCATCATCATCATCATCGTCCTTTCTCTCTTATGCTGTTTCTCATATATAAACTATTGAGCATCTTTGCTTAACTAGAGCTCATTCTTACCATATGTAACGCACTCTCTTCAAGTTTTCTTACTCTAACACTACCATTTTCTTCTGAAGTTGCTACCTTTTTGCATGCTGATAACCAAACCACTTAAATTTTTTCTGAAAAACGTTGTTTGATACAATGTTTTTCTAATCTCTAAGACGAAGTCTAAGATTATGGCTCCTTTTTTATCTTTTACTGTCATACCACACATCCATCTGATCATCTCAACTCTTATGACAAATTACAAATATTAAAGTTTATATAAATATGTAAGGATATTGCAGATCTTGTTATGAGATTTTGTTTTATAACGAAATAAGTAACTTTACTTAATATACATGCAGTAGTGGTGTAGTGGTAGAACGCCCATTGTTAAAAGTTAAATTTTGTTTGTTACATTACTTTTTTTTTAACTTTTCAGAGTTAAAGAGTTGAAAGAGGGTTGTAACCAATAGAAATAGGTTGATATACATACAACATATAATATACTTTTTAATTCTTCTTCTTTATAAATTGAAAAAAACTTTATAGTTTTCAAATTTAACTGAAAGTTAAATGAAAATTTGAAATTGTTACCAAACTTAACTGAAAGTCAACTTTCTATTTCAACTTCAGCACGGAAGTCGAAGCCAAAGTCAACTTCGCCTTTCAGTAAAATTTGTAATCCGAATTTTAACCAATATTCGCTGGCCCTAACCCTAATATATATATAAAAAAAAGTTAATGAGAATTTTTATTGAAAACTGAATAACTTGTATTGTTGTTGTTATCATTTTTGAGTTGTTTGTTCGCATTTTGATTCTTAGTTTTAATTTATTCAATTTAAACATTTGAAACTATTTTCCATGTCTTTCAAAAAATCTTTTGAAAGATGATTTTTTTAAGTTACTTTAAATTATGAATAAGTTAAATTAAATCCTCCATTGTAATGGAATGATTTAATTGCTTTATTTTTTTTGTATCTATTTTTACAAAGAATTGTTTAAAACTTTTTTTTTTAACTTGAGTAATCAGAGCTTAAAGTGAAATTTCTTAAATAGACTACGAGATTTTTTTAAAGTTTTTTTTTTTTTTTTTTTGGGCAACTTTGGGAAAAAATAAATGCTTATACAATTTAAAAATAATATATCTATAACACTTTAATAATCTAATTAAAATTAGTTCATTCATTAAACAATTATTAGAAGTAATTAGTGAAAAGCGCTTTGCATAACTCGAATAAAACGTTTCAAAAGATAAGTTTTTAAGGAATTTATTTTAAATGCAATTAAAAACGTAACAAAAAGTAAAGTTTGAGTTAGAGTTTTTTGCCTTGAGTTTGAGTTTCTTGAGTTTTATTTTAGTGCTTGTATATTTTATTTTTGTAAGGAATTGTTTTCCCTTTTCATTATTATTTTTTTAATTTTCGTTCCAGTCTAAGTTTAGCTAGCAATTCATTTTTCAGTGCATTTCTGAAATGTTTAAAAAACATCTAAACAGTCAAAGTTGCCAAAAAATAATGGTCAAGTTGTCAAAAAATAAATTCATTTGCAGTTTCTTTCCTGATTATTTAGAATATTTTATTGCAGATTTTTGTTTTTAAATAAAATGGTTTCAATTTAATATTTTATGTTTTTTTTAGATAGACCTAATTTTTCACACCATAACTGACAAAGCTTTTTTTTTTTTTTTTTTCTTTACAATTTGACAACAGCTGTTTTGATGTTTTAACATTCAATTAAAAAACTGTTACGTTACAAATAACTTTTAGTCATTGTTCTTTTTTAAAATTTTAATTTTTTAAATAAAATTAAAAACAAATTATAATGATTAAAAATAAAAATAAAAATAAATTTAATGTTATATTAAAATTTCTTTTTAGTAGGTATGCATTTTTTATGATAAATTTAAAAGTTTGAAATTATTTTTCCATGTCTTTCTAAAAATCTTTTAAAAGATTATTTTTTTCAAGTTACTTTAAAATATTAATTTAAATCTTTCAATGATTTAATTGCTTTATTATTTTTTGTTTCTATTTTTACAAAGAATTGTTTAAAAGTTTCTTTTAAACTTAACTTACTAATTAAAGAATGAAATGATTAAAAATTAAGACTTTAAAAAGACTACTTTTTTTTTTTTTTTTTTTTTTTTTTTTTTTCTACGTTATTAAGGCTAATTTATTTTCTTTTTCCTAAGGAATTGTTTTACTTATTCTCTAGTTTTTTAATTTTTTTCCTTGCTTAAGTTTAGCTCAACATTGTTTTTTTTTCAGTGCATTTTTTTTTCTGTTGCAAACAAAAAAAATCATTTGCGTGGTCAGCAATAGCGCTCGATTGCACGCCATTCCTGTCCAAGCTTTATTTTGTAAAATTCAATTCCCGTCGGTCAAAATGTTCAATTACTTTGTAAGTTAATCAGACAATCTGATGTTTTATTCATATAATGTGGCCGATGTTAGTTTATCTGATGTTTTAGCCAGACAATGTGGCCGATGTCCGACCATTAAATTGAGCCCTAATTTTTTTTTTTTTTTTACATGAAAAAAAAAAAAAAAAAAAAATAGAGGCTCAAATTGAGTGATTGCGAATTGCAATATCTGGAAATATTTATGGTCATTAAATTCTTAGTTTATAAAAACCATGAACTGTTTTAATAAAACGGTCAATTTATCATTTGGCAAAAATTAATGAAAAACCAAAACAATAAATTTACCACTGCAAAAATAACATATTTTGAATTATTATTTTTTAAAACACCAGATTAAATATAAAATAAAAAGTCGGTCCAGAAACTTTGCGCAGTAATTAAAAATCAACCAATAAAAAACTATGCTAAAGCTATTTGCGCATTGTATTAAATATTGTATCAAAAATCAACCAATAAAAAATTCTATTAAAGCTATTTTGACAATGTGTGAAACATTAATATTGATTTTTGTTTAGGGGGAAAGTTTAAGGAATTATTTATTTAAAAATTCTAATGTTTTAAATTAGAAATTAGTTAATTGATAATAAAAATAATAATAATAAAGTTTTATTTTAAAATAAATTATTAGAGTTTTTTTGTTTTGTTTTAAAGGGATCCCCAACTGCTGAGACAAGTTGTGTTCATATTAAAAATAAATGTTTAAAAAAAAACATTTGGGTTAAATTTTTTTGATTGAAACTAAATAATGAATGCATACCAATAAAATTAAAACTATTGTTTTAGTCGAAGCTTGCCTTCTCCATTTTTTTTTTGGTTCTCGGAGTCTGTATGTTAGCCGCAATCTGCAGACTTGATAATTTATTCCATGCGTGTTAATTTATAACAGTTTTAGTATATGACATCATCGCAATATCTTTTTAAGAGAGCGTTTTTTTGTTGCTGTTTTTTTAAAGATATAAGTATTTTTTCTACTACAATCAGAAAATCAAATATTTGCATAATTTTTTACTAAATCACAAAAAATATTTGTGACTCAGTAAAAAATTATACAAATATATATATATAAATATTTTTATATTTATAGTATATTTGTAGTATGATGCAGTTCTTGTTTTATATTTAGTTCATATGGTTTAATAGAGTTGTTTGCTTTATGTTTAACTTTAATTTAGTTATGGTTTAACTCTTTCACTACTGCAAACCACTTGTAGCAGCTTTCGAGTATGCTTTACAATTTATCTTGTTTTGTACATAAATTTCCATTCTAGACACATAAATTTGTTTGTTCTGAAGGTTCGATTAATTCTCTACATAATCAAGAAAAAATAAGAGCTATATTGTGTAATTATAAAAAATTTATCACAAATTTAAAAAATCTTGAATAATCCTTCATAAAAAAAACTTTAAATTTAGTTATAAAATAAAACAGTGTTAACACTGTAAAACTTACTTGTAGAAGTGTTAAGTATTTAGTAAAGTAATTACCAAAGTATTTTGAAGAAAAAATATTATTTTTATTCATTAAATTAAGTTTGTTTTGGACTTAATGTTTTAGTTACCACTTACAAAAACAATAGCTTTAAGCACTTTGCATTTCTTATTGTTTAATGATTCTTTAATGCGTGTTAAAAACTTTATTATTATTGAATTTTAATTATTTGTCAATGTTATGCTATTCACATGTTATTTAAAAAAATGT